ATTATTGCACACTGACTCAAGTCTCACTTGGACTCTTTTATCTCTCTATTGCAGATGGTTTTTGTAAGTGGGAGGAACATTCAAGACAACATCATCACCCATGAAATCATGAATCATCTCCACAAGAAAAAGGGATGAAATGCTCTTATGGCTATAAAAATTGATCTTGCAAAAGCTTTAGATAGACTTGAATGGCCCCTTCTTAACTGCATACTTACATCTCTTGGCTTCTGCAGGACCTTTATCAAATGGATTATGGAATGCATCTCCACATCTAGCATGTCATTTCTTATCAATGGTGCTCCCTATAGCAATCTGAAACCCTCAAGAGGTGTTAGACGGGGAGACCCTCTCTCCCCTTTCCTCTTTGTTATTTATATTGAACTTCTTTCCAGATTGCTCAGTAGGAAGGAAAGCAATGGCCACTCCAAAGGTATAAAAATATCCAGAACCTGTCCTTCCATTCACCATCTTCTCTATGCAGATGACTGGTCATTTTTTGTAGAGCTTCTGCCAAAGATGCTCTCTGCATTAAACAAATTCTTGAAACTTTTTTCCCTCGGGTCCAGTCTGTTAGAGTAGGTGACCAACAAGCCAACATGTGGCTGTGGTCTTTCGTATTTATTATGGTAATAAACGAACCTTTATTCGTATTAATGATAAAACACCTTGGCATTCTATATCTTTGTCCCTTTGTCACAAGCATAGATATAGTCCTTACAGTTATTACAAGTACTAGTAATTGATCGTTAGGATCGTGAGATATTTACTTAAGTATTATAACTGTTAAACGTGTTCCTAGTCGAAGGGTTACGCCACCAATGAGGATATCGGCCTTTCCCATTAGAAGACTAGCACTTAGTGTATGTGTACTGCATCTCATCAGTAAACGGTATTGTGATATCGGCATGCATAAGTGGGTGCTCGTAAGTTGACGAGTTCACTGAACTCCCTCACCCTAGAAATCTCTAAGTGGTTCCCAATAATCGAGTAGAGATATCTATGGTATAGTTGTACACCATTAGTCCTTATGACCTAGACATCACCGTGACTTCACTAGAGGACCAGCTGTATCGTGACCTGTCCCTGAGTTCCACCGAGGACCATCCCAAGGGCCAGTGTTCGTGCAGTCCGAAATCTAGTGGGAGGTCTGTGCATTGTAGTCGGGGATTCGATCGCTAGAATAGTCTTGGATGTCCTGTGTGTTCTGAAAGTTTGTAATCATTCTAAGTCTCTGGCCAGAGCTGACTGAGTGATGATTAGAGAATTCGATTCTCTAAGTCATGCACGTGACGATTACAACACTTAGAACGATCGCACCGTCATCGAACATATAAAGAGGTCTCGATGAACCAATGCCTCTAGTTCGATCGGGACATATGAATCGAAGGGACCGTACTGTACGTTAACTATATCTGAAGGTTCTTGCAGGCACTTCATTTGTATCTAGGGAATCATGACGCGTAGTTGCTAGACGCCAATCTTGATTCGTTGGGTGATTAAGGTGAAACGAGCTTCATCCTAATCGTAACTCTAAGGGACGAGTTTTGACCACAAAGAGTTGTGGGCCCACGGCTAGCTTACACCTGAACCATCGAGGGTCACACTGCTCGTGCACATGAGATCTTTGAATAAACGGTCAGAGATAAAATAGTTTATCTTTGCATGATTGGAAGTCAATATGATTGAGTCCAACATTCGTAATTTGGAATTACGGATGAGAATAAGAAAAAGAAAAGAATAGGCGAAAGTATTAGTGAACTTTCTAAATCGGGAAGTTTCCAAATTTAGAAAGTGCACTGAACTAGGGTTTCCACTTTTGGAAAGTTGGAAATCGAGAGTTGGCACTCGTAATGACGAGGAAATTATAATGATTCCGAAAATGTAATCGTTGCAATTTTTCGGACATTGAATTGAGAGAGACGAGCGATTAAAGGAACTGACAAGCTTAAGCTGTTGGGCCCGGTCCAACTTAAGCCCGCTAGGGTTTTATGCAAGGGACTATAAATACATGATTTATAGGCCTTGCACAAACACACAAAAACCCTAACCCTAAGCGGCCGTCCACTCTCTCTCTCGGCCTCTCTTTCCGCGGCCGTCACCGCGCCACCGTCGTCGTTCCGTCGCCGGAATCGGCCGTTCATCGGCTGTTCCTCTTTCGGTATTCTTTCTCTTTTCGTTTCTTCCGTTTTATTCTAACTACTTCGTGTCTAGTGCCACGTTTTAGTAGATCGAAGTATACGAGGTGAAATCCGAGAGGAGGAAGATCGTAGATCGAAGAATCGAGGAGCAACGCACGATCCGAAGCCGCACGCTGCCCCGAAGCCGCGCGTATACCGCACGCGCCGCCGTGACCTCACGCGCCGCTGCTGCCGCTGCACCGCTGCTGCCCCGATTGTACGGATTGGTTTCCGTAGCAATCTCGAAGTGTTAAACGCTCCTACCTCACGCGTCAAGAGGTAAATACACGAAACCCTAGTTTCGATTTGATTAGGTTTAGACTATGATTTCATGTTTGTTTCGTATGATTTTATGTGATTATGTGTAATCGTTTTATATCGTTACAAGCATGTTATTTGGTTTAAACGCGAGCATGTTAATTGATTTAAATTCGGTTAAATTTATTAGCATGTATGTTGTTTTTAATTTCGCTGGAAGCGCAAAGGTACGCAATTAATTGATTCAATATGTCGGGCATGTAATTGTGTGTTTTAAAGTCGTTTAAATCGCATAAAATTTTTGTTTTCCGCTGCGTATGCGTGCCCGAAACCCAACACAGTCAACATCCAAACTCTTCTAAATAGGTTATTCATTTCAGCAGAAACACTGACCCCCAAGATAAAATTGCCATTCTGAATATCTTGAATTTTAAGGAATGTGACCATAACTCCAAGCACCTTGACCTCCCCTTTTGTCACCAAAAGACCAGATATTCAGCCTTTAAGAACCTCTCTGAAAATCTTGGTAACAAGTTATGTGGTTGGAGAGCTAGAAATCTATTCCAAGCTGGTAGAACAATTCTAGTCAAAGATGTGGCTCAAGCTTTACCATCCTACTCTATGTCAGTCCCAAGAGGATTTGTGATAAGCTTGACAGAGACATTAGAAAATTCTGGTGGGGTCAGAATAATAAAGGTAACTCTCATGTTGAAAAGTTGGGACTCAATCTGTATCCCCGAATGTGTTGGTGGATTAGGGTTTAGAAGATTGAGTGATTGCAACTTGGCCCTCTTCTCAAAAAAATCCTGGAACATTGCCTCCAAACCGAATAATCTTTGGGTCCAACTGCTCTCTTCTAAGTACCTTAGATCTCAAGATTTCCTGAATATTACTTCTTGTCCTCAATCTGCTTCCTGGTTTTGGAAGAACATTTTCAAGTCCAAGGATTTCATCAAAAAGGGTTTATGCCATCTTATTGACCCTCGTTGTTCTCTCAAAATCTGGTCCGATCCTTGGATTCCAACCATCAATAGCTTCATTCCCCCCGCATCTCTCTCCACTCACAACATCTCATATGTGAAAGACCTTTTCTTTGAAGGGAGTTTTTTATGGAATCAAGATCTCCTTCACTAACTCTTCCCAGTTGATGTAGTTAATGAGATCTTAAAAATCCATATCTCCCAGTGGCCTTGCCTAAAACACTCTTTTGGAAGCCCTCCAAGTCAGGGCTTTTTACCTTCAAGAATGCATATCACACCATTCAATCTGCTCGCTTTGAATCTGCCTCCTCTCTCTCGCACTTCAACTGGAGAAAGTTTTGGAGCGCTTCTCTTCCTTCTAGGGACCTCTGTGAAGAATTTACCATATTCACTGTTGTGGTCTTTGATTCTATTTGGATGACATGTACTAAGACCACACATGGTTTGCCTCTTCCTCCACATAATGTTATCTCCTCCATGGTGGATTCATGCACGGCGGCTCACTGAAAATCACAAATGCTCTCGACTGTCAAAAATGGGAAAGATTCCTGCCAAGACTGGGAAAAGCCCTCATCCGACTGGCTTAAAGCAAACACCGATGCATCCTTCCTGGACGGAAAAGCGACCACTGCCTCTATCATCAGAAACAAAAATGGCTCGATCATCTTCACCAGCTCAAACCTTCACGTATGCATGGATGCTCTTGTTGCAGAAGCTTGTGCGATTAGAGACGCTTGCTCCATCTTTGATCGGGCAAAAATTTCCAAAGTCATTTTCGAATCAGATTGTCTCGAAGCCATTTTGTTCATTAACAGGCCTTCTTGCATCATCGACTGGAATGTCAGAGTCGTCATTGAAGATATCAAAAGATATTGGGCATTATGGCCTAAATGGCGTTTCAAATTTATCTCAAGGAACGCCAATTATGCTTCTCATAACCTTGCGGCCTGGGTTGTTTCTAGTAATTGGATTGGTTTTATTCCATTTGATGTACTTCTTGTTAATTGTTTTTGTGACGGAGGATTTCCCCTCGTTGACGCTTGTAATTTTACTTTTCCTTATTAATCCATTTCAATTATCAAAAAAAAAAAAACTCTACATAATTACTACTTGTTCATCTGAATATATAATATTATTTATAACAACCTCTTCATGTGAATGACGATATAGTTTATTAATATTAATGTTGATACTTCCATGGCAATATGCACGTATCAAGGATCCTTTTCAATTTAGATGGATGGAGCTTCTACTTACAGCCAGGTGATTCTGTTAAAACAAATATGATTACCGATCCAACCGTAACCCAGTAGCTTGTCCAGATGTCCAACCAAGTTTCTGAAACATTGATTACAATACTCTGTTATTCTTTATTTGTTATTTATAACTAATTAATCTTTTTTTATGTTGGGTACTGTTAAGCATGATTGTTAAGTCATGAATCAAATCGTGAATATATATTGATATTTAAAAAGTAATTACATAGTTCTTTAAAAGAAAATTAAAAGATATACGTTCTTCAGAAATTATAAAGTCAAACCAAGTAGTTAAAACTTCATTTTGAACCAAACCCGAAACATAGAATCCAAGAACGTAATCTGGCATTCGCTACCAACCCAAAAGATTTTGACAGTCAATTCGTCGTATACACAACAATTTTGACAGTCAATTCGTCAGCATACTTTTACAAGAGAATCACCAAACAATAAATAAGTAAATAGTGCTTAAATAAAACCATTTTGTTTTCTCCTGTAGGGGAATGATTTTCATATAGCAACTTCCCATGTTGAGGATCTCTTCATTGTTTTAACTCTTTCAACTCTGGGCACACTTGTCAATCATTCATATGCTTTTGTTCCACATTTTTTTACCCATTTGGTCAGTTTCACCTCAGATGGATCAACAATCCTAAATTTAGTTAGGTTTGAATTCCAAAACTCTATTTATAAGTCCAGGATTGGTAGCACTGATCGAGGATATTGGCAAATCACATGGCCCAAGAGCTTCAGACAACTTAGCACTCACCCTCCATTTACAAGACACTTTCAAGCAACGGGAAGATTTTATAAGACAGTTTCAAGACAGTTTCGCAATTTTCAAGACTGGTTTCCCAATTCCAATTTTATAGTCCCCTTTTCCCAATTCAAGCACATTGGAAGATTTTATAATTGGGGGCAGTTTTTATCAAATCGAAGAAATGGTGTTAAGTTTATTGTTGTTTAATGGCAAAATCGTGCTCGTTAGCTCTTCGGTAAAGCAAAGCTGATGCTTCCACCCTGCATGTATTATTTCGTAGGAAAACAACTCAATGTGACAGCAATGACAATTTCAATCTGCATTCAATGACAATTTCAATCTTACCAGCCAGGATGCACAACAAATTTTCCTGTCGAGAGGGCCCAATTCACCTGTTCCACAGTTAAAAGAATGAGAAAGAATCGTCACATATACTGAACTCAACCAAAGGTATCACATTATCAACTTCATATATTGCAACCTACAAAAGTACCTTATCTGTCCCAAGTGAATTTGCGACTACATGTGTCACATGCTCATCTATCTGATTAATGCAGACAGCACCAAACTGCTCAGCTGTCTGCCACAGTGGATGCATGTGAGGCTTCGCTTCACCAACTGGAAATACTCTGCTGAAGACAATACGGCAACCAGCTAGAATCTTCCGTTGTTCAGAAGCTAAAATGTTTCTAACATCAGCTTCATTTAGTGACTCATGCCCAAAAAAGTTTTCATGTATTCTTTCAATAACCTGTTTTATGTGCCAAAATCTGATCAAAAGGTGGAACATCCCACTCAGCATTAAAAGACCCGCCCATAACAAAAACCCAATACCAGTGCTCCTCTTTCCTTTCAGTCAAATCTTTTCATGTACCGGAAACACTTTTGTTTACTCGAGTCTTTTATTTTATTAAGCAATTTTAACTTCATTTTCCCAAATATCATTTAACAAGTTTCACAATGTTGCTAAAACAAAGCTCACCGTCGAACAAGAAGCCAAAGTCCCATCTTCTGGTCTCTCATCGTGATCAATCTCAAGAAGGGAAGGACCTGGTAGTCCAAATTGCCGTCTACTACATGGAAAATATATATACCTGCACCAGAAAAAGGGAAGGGCGGGGGGAGGAAAATAGTTCAGTAAAGAAACGAGGCCAGGTTAACTGCAAAAACAAGGCAAATCTTTACCGTTCCACAACTATCAAGTTTAGTTTGTTATGTGGCCAGACTCGTATAGAATCATCTATAATTACAACACCTGATTCCATACCCAAAACACCCTCCAAGTCTTTACTCTTGGGAGCCCTATCATCACTGTCAAATGGTTCCCCATCATCACCCCGTGAGATAACTCGTCCAGAAAACAATTCCCCTTTTGGATCAAGCAGTTTTGCCATCTCCGTTGCATAATACTTGTTTCCCATGGTGTAGAGATGCAGCTCGTAGAGTTTACTTGCCTAAAATGGAGATCAAGAAGCTTCAGGCAACAATGAAAGTATTAATGTTAAATTTTAATTAAACAAGCTCAAAAGGCTGCTAGTTATCACCTTTTCCAAGAAATTCCATACCCCAGGCCGCAACTTGGTCCACATTCCCATATGAGGAAACCGAAATAGATGCCTATGGGGTTTTTCGCGATCCTGTTCCTCTTTCTTTCTCAGCATCTCATCATGCTGTGGATCAACTTCAACAAACTGAAATACAGCGGAAAGTTCTTGAAGATCGTATACATTTTTTAATAAAATTAATTAATTATAAGAGTAAAACAATCCCATGCCTTAGCTGAATTAAGGAGAGTATGATCCAGATCCAAGACAAGACAAAGCTTGCGAACAGCAAACAATTTATTCTGTTCTTCCAGCCTCCTAGCCCTTTCTCTCTGAATAGCAACTTTCTGCTGGTCATCAAAGCCCTCAAACAAATGTTCAACATCACTCCACGCGTTCGCATTCAGTGGTCGGGGAGGGCTAGAAGTAGCTGCTTCAGAAGTTGTTATGTCAGTTACATTTCTTATGTTCCCATATTCAGCAATTGGTCCCCTCGTCTCCTTTCCAGCTATTAAATCACCCTGTGCGGGTTGCAATGAGGGAATCTGAGCAAGTACCGGTGAGGTCGTACATATTTGAGATACAGACAATAAATCAGCAATGTTCCTCAAGTTATTAGTAAATTGCATAGTGATATCAGGTGGTTTCATGCTACTGGAAGACATTTTATTCTCCAACTGATCTTCCTGTTTTGGGGTATTCATTGCTGAACCAAATGATGCATCTGCTTTAGGTTGATCAGCTACTGAAGTCACATCCTTCTGAGGTGCATTATTATGAAGAACACGCCGTGGATCACGAGGTTTCATTCGAACTTTTCCAGATTCTTCCTGCCAATTTAATTTTCCAACAAATAGATTACTAGCAAACTCATAATAAAGATACTAGAATGAAAAGCAACATTGCTAACAAATAGATTACTAGAATGAAAATCTCTGGTTCTTAGGTTTCAACTATATTAGAACACAGGGGACAAGGAATTCAAGTTGTGTAGCTAGAGATTCTCCCATAATCTCCTGGAAAGAATCAGTTGCCTATCAATTGGGCTCTGCGGAAAAGGGGATGAAAGAAAGAAAGAAAGAAAAAAAGGTTTTTTTTTCAAGCTTAAAAAAATAGATGAGGCACAAGCGAGTGGGAAATCATTGAACACAATTAAGAAGATAATGCTGTCAAAACTGAAAACATGCATAAGTGCCTACCACAGAAACCGCCTGGGAAGGAATTTGCACTGTTCCAGCTGATATCTGCCCAATCGTTGAGGACAAAGGCATAACTCCAACTGGCGATGGAACTGCTCCTAGAACAGAATTCGAGTTGGATATTTGTGTCATACTTTTGATATCATCTGAAGACTTGAGATTTTCCATTTTGAGTATATTCATCCAAATAGATGGGTCCACAGCAATATCTTTAAGTAGAGAATGAAGAGAAGAAGTTGCATTGGAATTCTTCGAAGGAAATTTTTCACTTTGACTTGTTAACAGCGACATAATTGGAGCACTAACAGGTAGAGTCATCTGAGAGGTTGAGGTCGCACTTACAAGTGGCATGGCTGTGCTTGGACCTGATAACTCGTTTCTTTGTCGTTTAAGAGCAGGACCATTCAGGACTAACTCCTCATTTGTCTTCTGTTTCCGTGAACTCACCATGCCAGAGGACTCCCATTTAGACTCTTCACTTCCCACAGCGGAGAGGCTTTTGTTGGGATTCTTGGCTCCTGCATCAGAATTGGACAATCGAAGCCTAGGGTCCCTACTTTTCGCTGAGGTGGATTTCAACACAGGATTCCGGAGACTATTGCTGATTTCTGGAGTCGCTGAAGTATCCATGGCAACAGAAGAAGAAACCACTGGCTGCACTGAAGTTAAGATGTTCACAGCAGGGTTAACATGGTGAATAATAGAGCTGGAAACTTCGCCATTGATTTCACCATCTCCACTGGTCTGACCATCTTCCGAAGGAGTTGGACTAGGAAGCTTGTCGTTCACAAAAAACGAACTTCGACCAAATTTCTGCTGATAACTGGAAACAGCTATGACAGCATCAGTTTCATAAGGATGCATCAAAATATTATCTCTCTCAATATTTCGTCCAGGAACTGGCCATTCCGGTTTTAGCAAACCATGCCCCATAATGAATCCCTTGTCAAAAGGCAAAGGTGCAGAAAGATCTCGAGTGGGTGAAGGGAGACTGTCGGCATCATGATCTTTATGAAGGTCTATCAGTGGACGAGTCACTCCTTTATGCCTAGAAATAACTAGGCCCAAATTTGATCTGCATTCAGTTTGATCCGGTGATCCACTAGGACCAGATTCTATTTCACACTTCCTTAGGTCAATAGAATCAGTATTAGCAGTCTCTAGCAACACATGTAGATCAGCTGTACCTACTCGTTCCCTTCCATTATTACTGTCATTCCTGAAAGATTCAACAGAAGACTCCATGGAAAACCTAATAGCCTCTGCCTGTGACAACAGATTTCTAAATGAGACAAAATAGCTACTATAGACCCCAGAGGTTGAGAAAAGTGAGGGTGGACAGAAAAAAAAAAAAAAAAAAACTCACACCTTTTCTAACTGCAGAGGAGAAAAAAGAGGTGGCTTCAAGCTTGTTACTCGTGCTAACAACCTGTACAGATATTTACAAGGATGGTATGCTCATGAATTCAAGATGACTCCACACCAAATAAAACCCAAACAAAAAATGCAGCAGTTGCAATATAAACCTCGACAAAATGGGTTTATTCTGCTCTTTGAGTTTCGGAGACATGGAAGAGAACACCTGCAATACCAACATCTAAATGTTATGGGAAAAGGTCGCCTTTGGCTGAACAAAGTTAATCAATTAACCTGGCCCGTGAGAAACAAATGCGAGAACAATTGAGACCACACAGGCCAGTTATCAGGAATTTGATTGAATTGAACAACATACTGAATAGAGGGTCTGTATTGCAGTTAATAGCAGTTGAACAAGAGTGTCTTTCTCAGCAAAAGATCCCTCCAAAACCATTTCCTGCAAGCTGACTATTGTGTTCTTCAGACTTGAACACAATCTATGATATGATCTACACAAATACAAAATATTAATCTCCACAAGAAATTATGTTTTCAACACCAAGCTAACAATTAATGAAAAAATATAAGATGATTTACATTATTGCATCAGCCACATTCAGACTCTCAAGCTCTCGTTTTATGGAATCAACACGCCTGCTCTTCTCATTGCTATTTGTTTCAACATTAAAATCCATATTTCGAACGACCAACTCAGAATCCAAATCAATCTCTCCCTCCTCCAACTCACCTTCCTCCATCCCACCCTCAACCTCGACATCAATCACAACCTTACTATCGTTCGTTTTTGAACTCTTCGAGCTACTAGTATCACTAATGCCCCCATTACTTCTATCGTTGTTACCATCCTCCTTCATCATTAGAACCTCATCCAGTGATTTATTATTCACCGCCTGCGCCCATGCCAAATTGTACAAACCCGGATAATGCTTCGAAGCAACCTGATATTCGTATAGATCTTTCATCGTCCAAACCCTAGCCCCACCTCCACCAGCGCTATTATTACTATTATTATTATTGTTATTACTGGTGACAACATTGATATGACTTGAATTTAAACTACTTTTCAGCGGCGGGGCAGGTGGCGGCGACGGCTGTAGTGCTTGCTTAGCATTAAAATCTTCTTCAGAAATTTCTTCAATGGAGGCGGAATCTGAGATCTCACCTTCCTCTACATCGTGAACCTCAACTTTGACTAGATGCTCCGCTTTATAATCGTCTTCCATAAATAATAAAAGGGGTTTATTTCCTTAATTACACAAATTAAATTGAAATCACCGACAAGTATATGTCGGAATTATATGAAGAATAACAAAAATCGTGCTACGTACGGTACCAAATCAATAAATTAAAACTCAATCCTTCAGAAATTGAAAAGGGGTGCAAAGCAACGAAATCTAATTTGACAGGATTTTCGTAAAAAAAAAAAAAGGAAAAAGAAATATTTGTTAGGAATTTGACCACAAGAAGGATTCTGTAAGATTTTGAAATGATTATTGTTAGTACTCCTACCAAAATTGGATTTTGGGATAGAATTGGATCTTGGGTTAGCGGATGTGCATATACCAATTGGATTGATCCTTGGAATTGTTGTTTCACCCCTACAGAAAGAAATGAAATTGACGGGTTTGATGAGTCGTCTGAACTGAACTAGGAATCAGACTTGAGTCCAGGAACTATGAGGGAATTTTGGAGGAAAAATAAAATTAGAGGAGAGAGTTAAGAGAGTAAATGGATGGGATGGTAAGGTTAGATCTAGACCGTCCACCTGGCTCCTCGTGACCAACTAGTCAGCCTATGGGTTCGTGGATGGTTATAAATTAGAATGATGACATTGGCGGCCCAACGTGGATTTGTATTTCCAAATTAGTATTTTTTTCAGTATGCACATATGTATGTATGGATTATGTACATCATACATGAACATATATTTCAAACCCACAAATAAATAGGATATATACTTTTTTATTAATAAACTAGTAATCGTGCCCGTGCGTTGCACGGGGTCGCATTCAACAAAGGAAAAAAAAAATAACTGTTTGAAATAAATGACAGTACAAATTGTATAAAAATTTTATATCTGTGAAATTCAAATTATACTACTATCACCTTATTTCAATATTATTATAACCGGACCGGACACAAAATCGGATAGGCGGGTCACGGTTGGACCGGTTCAGCCGGGGTCAACATGAGTATTTTCATTTTTCTATTTTTTTTAATTATTTTACTATTTTTATAAATATAAAAATATTATTCTCTATGTATTTGTTATGTATTCCTCTTGTTATTTCACATTTTTATTCCAATATTTATAATACAATTTTAATATACATTTTTTCTCCCTCTTATTTTTCTTCTTACGTCATTCCATCTTCACTCACCCACCCCACCCCCAACATTTCTTTCTTCTTCTTCTTCATTCTGCAACCTTTTGTTCTTTTTTTCTCCTTTTTCTCCATGTTCAAAGGAAACATCATCTGCCTCATCTACTCCTATTTCTCTTCGTTTTTTTTCTCCATCTCCAGGCTTCACTTCATCTCTTCTGCTTAGCTTTGTTTTTTCTTCAGCCCACTGATCTAGCCCAGCCACAACTTCGATTGAATCACATACGACCCAGATCCAACTATCGACGGCAATCCCCCGCCCAGATCCAACCACCACAGTGATTCTCAGCCCAAATCCGACCATCTACCACTGTTATAGGCTAAACCCGGTTCGTTAACTGGTTTCCGAGTCTACCGGTCGAAGCGGGGTTTTGATATTTTATGAATTTTCCGGTTTCTATTGTAGAACCAGACAGTATAGTTGGCGGTTTGCGGTCGACTATATAGTCCGACGACATTGCCTTATTTTATTGTCGCATATACACACACACACATTGACTGTCAATATATAAAATACATGTTAAACAATAAATAATTCAAATGTAACAAAGGGTATGACTATTTCAAATATCAATTGTTTCTCACTTCAATACCATACCGCCTAAATATTAAATAGGTAATGGCATTTATAGCCTTGATGAAAATTAATATCACAAAACATAAAAAGTCCCAATTTTATTTCTTTAATACCACACGCACAAATCACTTGCACCCCTCTGTTTCTTTTTCACAAACCCTCCCTCGCACGACTACTACTACTTCTTCCCCCTGCTTTTTCTCCCTTCGTCTTCCTTCTTCTTCCTGCTTCTTCTTTATTGTTCTTCTAGCTCTTCTTATACATCTTCCTTATTTTTCTTATTCTTCTTCTTCTTCTTCTCCTTCTTCCTCTTTTTCTTCTTTCTCTTTCTTCTTCTCATTCTATTTCTTTCTGCTTCTTCATTTTTCTCATTCTCATCATGCTTCTTCTTCTTTCTCCTCCTCCTTCTTCCTGTTGCTTCCTCCTCCTCTTCTTCCTCCTTCTCCATGTTGCTTCCTCCTCCTCCTCCTCCCCCTCCTTATTCTTCTAAATAAATATGAGAGCAATTCCAATGGTACAATATTGAAATGGATCGTTAAATATTTATTTGAATCTCATTTTATAATTTGATACTCATATAATCCAACTGCGAGCATTTAATGGGTCATCAAATTTTAAATATAAGTATAAATATATTTAAAATTGACCCATAAAAATTCATGATAGGTTTTTTGGGTAGTTAATGTTTTGATTCTTTTTTTTCCAAGATGCATTTTTACAGCTTCGGAAGTTGAATATCAAAATAGCTACCAATTAATAGAAGATGAAAATTTAAGTTTTGTAGTATTATAATAGAAGTTATACCAGTTAATTCTCCTATAGATTCCTCCATTGGAGTTGCTACGAAGAAAGAAGAGTAAAAGCTATACTAACTATTAAACAACTTAAAGAAAAAGGGCATGATGAATTATTAAAATACATGATAATAAAGAAATTCTAATAAAGACAAAACTGATAAACGTATTATGGCATATACAAAACCCATACACATGACAACGAAAATGTAAACAACCAACTAATTGCAAGGCATATAGTCTGTCAATAAAATAGCACAAATACACCATAATGCAAAATAATAAGTTCGCATAATTACATGAGCCTAACATGAATGTTTGTGATGTACAACATGTTAGCCAAACATTTGGTGTATGATGTGAGATGATGATGGTTTCTTCTCTTCTTTACTGATTTTTTCTCGTTTAATGTCTTAGAATTGCTGAGTAGCTTCAAATAATGGTCTAGAGAAAACAAAAGAAATGCATTAATCTTAAAATAGGGATGCAACATCTCGAACAAATTAAAATATAGCAACAAAGTCTTGTAAGTTATAAAACTTAAATATTATAAATAAATTGTAGCAAAAAAATGCTTTGAACTAACAGAAGCACATAATAAATATTGTCTGACATAATTTTTTTTCCTTCTACCCAATTGCGTGAGTAGTTCGCTCCAATCACGAATTATTGTTGACACGAACATGCTTGCTGCAAAAGAAATTTACAATACGTCAAACACAAATGCAAAAATAAATAAATAAACGGCATAACACAGTTATTAAATAAACGAAGAAGAAGACGAACAAAATTTTAAATGAGAAAGAAAAAGCAGCTTGGCAAAAAGAATGTGATTTTTTGTGGAGTTCTCATGAGTTTAAATAGAAGAATGAAATTGGTAGGGATTGAGATCGTGTGATAACTTCTACCATGATGAATTAGTGGGGGGTTTAGTGGGTGGTTAGGATGGAGAAGAAAAAAAAAATATAAATATAAATAATTAGAAATACCTACGGTATATTTAAATATAGGAGTTAGTGTTTATATTATAAATTAATTAATGGTTAAATTTGATATGTATTAATTTACAACATTAACCCTAGGTTTAGGTCTAAGTTTTAGTTCAAAATATCTTCGTTTTATATATAAGATATTCTAGAAAGATATTATCTAGTTCTTTTTTACTTTATAATTAATTTTCGAATCATTTAGCTAAATCACAGATCGTATACCATAAAACTTTTTTTGTCAAATTATCATTGGCTTAATCCCAATTTGTGGCCTTTACATCTTTACTTACAGCAAAATAACAAACTAAATTGTATTTTCTTTTACTTTCAATAATTTGATCGTAAAAAAAAAAATCAGAATAAATTACTGAAAATGAAAACTATAATTTCTTTTAAAAAAATATATTTTCTCGCTACATTATTCGAGAACAAATCAAAATATTTGGAAGAAAATATATATATATATAATCTATCTACGGCAATTTGAGGCTCCTAGAGTACAGATTTGAGATAATTTTTATACTTTTACAAATCTGGAATCATGAATTTGTGGAAAATTAAAAAAAAAACAAATTTTGTGAGTTCTGTGTAGATCCACACGGATTTAGTAGAATCTGTTCTGTGTAGATCTAGAAGGAAATATCGTGTACAACGTATAAACGGAACATTTTTTTTTATATAATTAATTTCGAATTATTCCATGTGATTCTCAACGGAATGCCTATGTTCTCATATACTGCTCATTCGGACTTTTAGACTGTTTTATCAAATACATACTATGACTAATAGCAGTTTCTTTCGAATAGTTAACGAATTCCTCTCTACTATCGAACACAAATGTAATATCGAAAAATTGAATCCACACGGACCGGATTGAACCAATTCCGGGTTAATCAGCACGGACAAAAGAAAAGAAAAAAAATTGTCAGTTCCGTGTGTATCCACACAGACCGGATCGAACTGGTTCCGGGTTACATAACACAGATGGTTTATTCTGTGTTGTGTAACCCGGAACCGGTTGGAACTGGTCCATGTGGATACATACGAAACTGGATTTTTTTTTTTTTTTCTAATTCCCTACTTTAACACGGAACTGGGGCAACTAGATCAGTGTGGTTAATCAACTCACAAAACAGAGTCACCCGGCCGAGTGTAAGTAGTTAATCCACCCATCTAAATTGATATATATAATATATAAATAATATTATATATTGAGAAGAAGTAGTAATTAATAATACAAGCAAGGATGGATGAATGAATATTTATTATAAGGGTCAGAGCTTGGCAAATAAGGGTTTTTTCTTGTGAAGATGAGCTGCAATAGCTTGAGTCAAATCATCTGAAAGTAGAACACCAGAGTTCCATGTTGCAATATAATCGAGACCTTGATCCATTGTCAAGTCTCTGCTTTTTATCAATACTCTCTTTGTTCCAATCACAGCAAGCGGAGACTTTGCAGCAATGCCTATACCATACCACCACATTTTCATAGTATGTATATTTCAAAGATATGCTGCTATGCAGAGCTAGAGTTACATTACATGAATGTATTTAACAGAACAGAACAGAACAGAACAGAGCTCATAGAGAGTAGTTACCTTGAGCAATTTGAGCAACCCCTTTGTCCAATGTTTGTTTATCGGTAAACAGTGTGGTGACCAGACCCAACTCCTTGGCCTCCAAACCCGAAAAGCTCCTAGCGGTCAGAGCAAGCTCCATAGCCTTACCGAACCCGACAATACCCGGAAGCCTCTGGAGCGACCCGAGATCCGCAGTTATACCCAAGTCCACCTCTTTCACCGAAAACAATGCATTTTCCGTTGAATACCTTATATCGCAGGCGGTTATTAAATCAACGCCTCCTCCTATGCACGCTCCGTGTATAGCAGCAATTACGGGTTTCCTGCACTCTTCAATCGCCGTCACAGCTCCTTGCAGGAACTTAATCTCCCGACGGAGCTTCTCCCCGGTACGTCCGGTGTCCGAAGACCGGGTATCCTGGTTTATGGAATTGAGGGTTTGGAGATCTATTCCGGAGCAGAAGTGATTGCCGGCGCCAGATAGGATGATGACGCCGACTTGAGGGTTGTGGTCGAGGGATGAGAGAGCCGCCGGGAATTCGGTGAAAAATTCACGTGACAGGGCGTTGCCTCTAGATGGACGGTTGATCAACAAATTGAAGACTCCAGAATCGGGGGATTCCTGATTGATTTTTAGGGTTCTGTAATTTTCTTCCATTTCTTCTTTGCTTTTTTCTTCTTTACTTCTTTTGGGAATGGAGGATGTACATAAACCGGTAAACCGAGACGAATGAAGAATGATTGAGTGTGACTGGTAAGCCCAAACACGCCCTTGTTACGGGCTGGGCTGGTTGATACTACTAGTTTCTTATTATATTTGTAGGAATAAAGCAGCTTGAGAATGGGTTAAGGCCCATTAATGAATTTTAATTTGATACCTTAGCTTGCATAATTAATGATTGTGAGGTGATCTGTTGTACATCATTTGGTAGTCGCATAATTAAAAGGGTGTTTAGCTAAGCTTATAAGATGTTTTAGAGCTTATAAGCTCTTTCAAAATATTTGGTAAATTTTTAAAAAAAAGATCTTAATTTTTTTTTAAATAAGTTATTGGAAACCAAATAAGATCTTTTTAAATAAATACTTATACCCCACCTTTTTATTTAAGATCTTATAATGAGTAAAAATAGGAAATACGTTCATTATCCAAACACTCTAAAAATTAATCATAAAAATAAGATGTAACAATTTATCAGCTCTAAAAACATCTTATCAGACGTAAAGATCTTATCAGCTATTTAAAATAAGCTTAGCCTAAGACATATGTACCGTAAGCTTTTTAATTTGTGCAAGGCAATATATATGCTGTATGCATGATTTATAATTGGAAAGGAAAAAAAAAAGAGAGACAGATTTGTTTAATAGAATTCATGATACATTCAAGGGCGGGGTGGTGATACAGAAATTAAAGAGTAGTAGGTAAATAAAAATAAAAATAAAAGAAAAGGAAAATGAATAAGCAGATATGGATCAAGCTGCTGCACAGACGACAAGAACAGGCGGTGTGTCGAGCTGAACGTGGCTTGGTTCAACACTTAATGCACATGATGAATTGTTTTCATGATAGTCGTCGTCGGAAACCTGGGCCTTAATTGTGACGTCGTCATATTGGGAAGTTGATGATGATTTTTTATGAGGGGTCCCTAACACCATTATATTGATAACATGATCATGATCAGTAGTAATAACCCCCATTTTTTTCTCATCATCAACATCATTAATCGCTTCTGCCTTGACGTTTCTGAATATACCATACAGCACCATTTGTAACACACCCAATATAAATCCAAGCACATTCGGAACCTGTTATACATATACACACCACCATGCATGCACCACAAATTCATCAATTAATTATATATAATATAATAAAATCTTATTGTACGTATCATAAAATAATATTTACTTACCGCAACACATAAATCTTTTTCAAATAAACCATAGCCGAACCACATGACTGCACTCAGTGTCAAGAAGAATGACAATGGAAACGGCATGAATTCAACACTACGTGTTCGCACAACTTGAAACTATAATTAATACGTCCATGCATCGATCATCATCCAGAAAAGACAAGAAGAAAAAGAAGAAGATATATTATTATTAATTGGCAATAATGAAACATGTGCAAGCTGGTATATATATCAACATATATATATATATATATATATATATATGGTAATTATTAAATTTGAAAATCTCACCACAATGCTCAAGGGTGCTGCAAACACACACACAGAGACAGCAACACATATCCATCCAACAACATGTACTCGGTTTTGACCTTTGAATATGAAGAATGTCACCACAAATATCAAAGACAATACTCCCACATTCACAACTCCCAGTAGCTTTGCCGTACGACCCTGCAAATTTATATTTATATTTATATAAATCACCGGCCAAAACTAGTTTGCTTCTAAGTTATTTACAAATAAATAAATAGATAAGAATTATTTTATATATATATATATATATATATATATATATATATATATATATATATATATATATATATATATATATATATATATATATATATGTGTGTGTGTATGTATATGTCTTTGATTAATTAATTAATTAAATAATTACCCTAGCCTTTTTGGATGCATAAAAGAGGAACATGGAGATATAAATAGTCTCTACAATGCATCCAAAAGTGTTGATGGAGATTAGCAGAACCGCATTTGTCTTGAGGAACGCATAATACAACCACAGCATTGCTGAGAACAGTGCAACTGCATAAGGTAATGAATCGAACCCCATGGTCGATTTTTCCTTGAATATCCTTCTGAATGTTGGCCTGCACAAAAATATTTATGTTAACTTGAATGACATCAATTATTAATTAGTTCAGGTAGTAATTAATTAATTAATAATTGGTTCGGTTGAAATTATAAATAGCACAACTAAACAAGCTAACTTACAGTGGAGCAAGGTACACAAAGATTGAGATGATGTTACCTGCATATATCACAAAAAGAAATGTCCATTTATTTGATCAATTAAATATAATATATATATATATTAAAACAATAAAAAATATGTATTTTATTCATGATATAGAATTGATGTCACAGTGTTTGCGTGCATGAGTTGTGGTATATATATATATATATATATATATATATATATATATATATATATATATATATATATAAAATTATTGCTGATGGTGAAGAAGGGTAATCATGCAAATAATATTTTTAACCAAGAAAATTAAGTAGAGAAAACTTTGTAAAGCTAGCTAGCTAGCTGGTTTCTCCATTTATTTTTTAATTTTTAGGAAATCCGAGTGTATGCATGTAACAATATATAATCATATAGAAAGTAGGAGAAAAAGGCAGTATATAAGAATTAGAATAATGGTTATTATTCGATTGAAATATAAAGAGAGAATGAAAAGTAGTAGAGGAAAGGAAAAAAGAAGATGAAACAGAAATAGTTATATATACCTAAGACACCAAATGTAAATGCCCATGGGTGGTGAATGTCAAAGATAGCCATACGCTAGCTCTAGCTGCAGTGTGTACAAACAAACTAATTATATATTATGGAATGTGCTCGATCTCTGTGTGTGCGCCTCTCTCTCTCTCTCTCTCTCTCTCTCTCTCTCTCTCTCTCTCTCTCTCTCTCTGTCTCTCTCTCTACGGAATGTGCAGAAGCAGCAGCAGGGTCTCGATCGATCGATCGATCTAAAAGAAAGAAAGAAAGAAAGAAAGAAAGAAAGAAACCCTTTTGCTAGCTAATTAATGAAATGTTTAAGTAATATATCATGGGAGAAGTGATGAATGGAAAGGAAAGTGAAGAGTGGGGGATTTATATATAGAGAGAGAGAGAGAGATCAGACGTTTGGGAATGCAAGTCATCTATGTTGCATGACAAGTGGAATTATGATTAGTAGGTGGCGTACCATAAAATCATTCATCAAACGTACAATATATCACACACACACGCCGCCTCACGTGCCCTTGCATGCTTTCTACACATTTTACACTTCATTCCTACGTAGGATTCATCCGATGCTGCCTGCCACTCTTATTTTTGGATTTTTCTCAACAAGTTTAATTAATACATACATAATTTAATTTTTATTTATTTATTTCACATGTATATATAATATTGGTTAATTAGTCCGTCTTCCTATAATTAATAAATTAAAAAGAAAAAAATAATTAATTGGATAAAGGTATATGTTTTTGGTGGATGCATGGTATGGGAATGGGATGGGATGAAAGGGGTGTGAGTCATAAAAGAGGAGTGAAAAAATCACGTGAGAGTGCAACAAACATGCATATAATACATAACAACTTTATAATTAAATAAACAAAGTTCCTAAAATGTGCAAACAAAATAATAAGCAGAAAACACGCACCCTTAGAATCATCACCTAATTAAGATTTGTCGTTTTGTCGCACCGCTGCATATATTGCTTTCTGTTTCTTCATCAGCTCAGCTGTTAGGTATTGATATATGTCGTGACACTAAACATGAGATACATCCATCAACATTGTGACGATGCTGTTATTTTTTGTTTCTATTAGGTGGAACCCCAACTACGTCTATATACCTTCCTTTATTATTATATATACACATCGATCTTTTTTTTCCTTCTTCTTTTTAATGATATGATATATGGTGCCATTAATATACCATATATTAATTATTTTTTCTAGGGTTGGGCTAAATTTAGCAGCACAGCTAATTCAACACCAGTCCTTCTCGTGCATTATATTGATGATAAGATATATTGCTTGATTAATTATATGCATAATTAGAGTGAAATTAGTCAAAATAAAAACAAATCATTCAGCTATCTTATCTTATATATCAATTTGTGGAAATGGAACTATGGTCCCATGGGATATATATAAGACTTATCAGAAGCTATACGCACTAATTATATTAAGAATCCTTTTATATATATGGCTTTTGTCAAGACACACATATATATATTATCACGATTAATTAGTGTGTGTTGATGTGATCTACAAATATTTATTCATCAATTAATTAATCTCTTCCCTTTACCTTATCATACTACAACTTTAATATTATTGCGGAGCGAACCATATGTTTCAAATACGCAATCATAACATATACGATCTCTTTTGCAAATTATAAAACATATAAGCTCATAAATTCATAATTACTACTATATACATCATTTATATCTACGATCAATTTTCTCAATAGGGCAAAAATAAAATAAAATACATAGTAGTAGTAATAGTAATAATAATAATATACGGCATTTTTTGTCGGGTAACAAAATTACGACAAGAACATGTTCTTGTCGGTGCTTCCTAAAAATCTTTTTTAGTTTGGAATAAAAGGATGGTTGCGTGCGAGATGCCAGATCAACGTTTTTGATTGACGGCGCTTCCGATAAATCGTTCTTCTTATATGGGTTAGATGTTATACCAATGTGTTTGATTGACGGCACAGTAATTGACGGCACTTCCAATAAAATATTTCGAAGCATAGAAGGATAGTTGTGAGATACCGGATCAACGCTTTTGATTGGCGGCGCAGCAGCGAGTAATTGACAATGCTTCCAATAAAAAAAAGTTTAATTTATACATAAAAGGAAATTTCGTGAGATGTCAGATTAACGCTTTTGATTGACGGCGACGTGAAAAGGTCTAAATTGTCGGAAGGCAACGTTGCTTCGATATCTTTCACCCTTTTCTTTCTCATTCGACGACCTTAGCTTATTTACTACTGCATCTTGGTTGAACGGTACAAATATTGTTTACGCTAAATAAATAAAGGTAATATGTGCATTCACCTCTTCTAATCGTTTGATTGACGATCATACTCTAAATTGAAGCTCTGTTTCGTGATGCAACAATAGCCTAAGTATTTAATTTTTTTGCATCAACCATCTTCCTTGACTAGGTAGCCTAAGTTATTTCCAAACACTACTACTTACTTCTAAATTAGGTGATAAAAGATGATTGTTTAGAACATTTGCCAACACCACCTAAATGGAACGTACATATATAGTAACACATGTAGATTACGTTCATTAATCAAAGTCCGTATCTTTCAACGTAACTCATCAACAAAAAACAAAAAGTCAGTATATTTCGTCTTTTTTCTAATTAAATAAAAAATTGCATGCGTGCATGCGTATATAGAAGAGATTAATTCTGTTGGAAGATGGAAAATGGAAATATATAGCTAGTATTCATTTTAAACGGAAAGTTTATCTTCAAATTTACGCAATCATTATCTCCATGATTAATAGGTTTTAGTGAGTAACGGGCCGCAACGTACATGAATAGACCGTCTCGGGAATTTAATTTCTAATTGGTAAAAGAGATGAACATTAATATAATTGGCTCAAGTGCAAGCACATATAAATCACGATATATGTTTTTAATAGTGAGAATTGTATTATTTGAGGGTGCAAAGTTTATTAAAAGCTTAAATGATAATTTTGATATGAAACGTAAAATACAAATTATCAAAGAGAATTCAGCCTGGTGAACTATGATATGAGTCTACGACGAGATTCGAATATGAAGTGGTTGTGTTGTTCTCCATTAAAATAGTATGTAATAATTAAAGTTTAGTTCGAAATACTTTCAATAGGGTTCTATGGTGTAGTGGTTAGCACTCTGGACTTTGAATCCAGCGACCTGGGTTCGACTCCCGGTAGGACCTCTTTTTTAATATTTAGAAATGAATTGAATGATATAATACTGATAATCATTTAAAAGCCATTTTTTAAGGCCTCGGCCTGCTATGTGACTCGCATTTATGTGTGACAATCATTTAAAAGCAGCCAGCTATATATATATATATATATATATATATATATATACATTAATTATATTAGCGCCCGACAAATTAATATATATGCCTGCATTGATTTAAAGATCGATTCAGTGTATATATTTATTATATATATATATATTGGAGTGGACTGGAATACTAAAAAAGCACAAGCCACCCTTGGGCCTTGTGCTGCCCCCGCATTTATATACTTTTAAACCCTAAAAACTAACTTTATTTTCAAGTACCATTACCATATATACCCCCAGTACTATATATATATACAATATAGATACACCACCATCCCCAATCTCATCAGTTAAAGTACGTATACTAGCTAGCTAGTTAATTACTTCTTGTGCAATTCTACAACTGCTTGCTTATATTTCCACAATATATTATAATAAGAAAAAAGATGCAATACTCATCATCATCATCATCATCATCATCATCATCATCATCAACATCATCGGCACGGCGGGGGCGGCAGTAGTTGGGAGCCATTAATGGTGAGGGTGGAGAGGATTGCATCTGGCAGCGCTGTGGTTGTATTCAGCATGAGCAGCTGCTGCACTTAAACATCTTTTTTCTGGGATGGGTGTTAGCCCTACTGTCTACGACCTTGACCTCGATCCCAGTACTACAGCTGGCATGGATATTCAGACAACCGTCTTGGTGTCGGCTCCTCCCTTCCCGTCGTGTTCGTTCTCGTCGGACCTATATATGGACAGTGTTATGGCTTCCCATATCGATCAATGGCACTTTGGTTCCACTTCTTAAGGAAGCCGGAGCTCTTTGGCTTTAAATCTTTTCATATATATACTTCAATTTTCATCATATATTTATATCAATCACACTCTTTTTTTTGGGATTTAATTAATTAGTTATAATTAACTAGATTTAACTAGTTGTTGTATTACTATTTACTAGTAATTAGGATATTCATTGGTATTTATTATTCTTTGTTAACTAGTAATTGTACCCGTGCGATGCACGGGACAACAAATTGCATTTTTTTGATGTTGTAAGAATATAAACAAACGTTTGATGTATCGTATGATCAAAATTCTATTATACTGAACATTATTAAGTATACTACACACAAAAAAAAAGGACATAACTTTACTGTTGAATAATTTTCTAAATAAATTGAATCAGCTAATACCAGTAGATTGAAAATTTAAACCAGGAAAAAAATCATTAATTATGTCTTTCATGTTGAGCTTAAAAGTAATTAGATTTAATAACTAAGTTAACATAATCAAAACTAAACTATCGACAACATACCATCGTAAAAGGCTATCTATACATCTTGCATCGGAACTAATCCCTTCTCCACTGCCTCATTTTAAGGCTGTTTTGGCACTGGAATTAACAATTGGAAAATTAAGAAACAAAAATAAATACAAACAATAAATTAAATATCGCATACAAACAATAAGTCTTGAAGGTCGACTTCCAATAGCTTGTGGCTCCGCCCATTTTCGGTTAATTTTCTCAAATCATCCCTTTTAATAACATGTCCAATAACATATAAAATGAAATAATTGTTATACATAAAATTTGAAAACTTTGGTATAAATTAATGAAACACATAATTTAACAAAATGAAATTACATATAAGCCATGATGGAAAAAGATGTAAACTAATTGCCGCACAGTCAATAGGATGAAGAAGAAGATAAGAAACAAAATCTAAACTCGGGTTACCAAAAGAAGAAGCCTTAGGTAGGGAAGAAATAAAATTCAAATGTTGCAGACATTCTGTAAAACGATGTCACAAAATCCGCTAGGGATGAAAATCAGATTTATTTACCCTTTTCTGTAAAAATCGAAAATCAGATTATTATAAATAATATATAGGAGAATTTGATGAAAATCGATAAGAATATTTAAAATAATATTTAGGAGATAAAAATTTGATAAAAAAATCAAAACATAATATTTAGGAGATAAAACTCTGATAAAAATCGAAAATAAAATTTAAAATAATAGTTAGGAGATAAAAATTTGATAAAAAATCGAAAATAATATTTCAAATAATGTTAATGAGATAAAAGTTGATAAAATATGAAAATAATAATTAGAATAATATTTAGGAGATAAAATATGATTAAAATCATTCCGTAATAACTCCAATTCCACATTCATACCACTCCTCGGTATTATATTGAACCATATATGTTTCCTTGATTGCTTCAAGCGTATATTGATCAAACTGATGAATTGTATTATAAAGATGTTTAGGTATGTTTCTACATAAATAATCTTTAGCGCATATAAGATCTTTTCCAAATAATAGTTTGATTAAGTTCGGTGTCTCAGAAAGAAGTTGAAAATTATATTTAAAATTATAGTTAGGCGATATAAATTTGATAAAATTAAAAAAAAAATATGATTTATAATAATATTTAGGAGATAAAAATTTGATAAAAATAAAAAATAATATTTATGTGACAAAAATCTGATAAAAATAAAAAGTAATATTTAAAATAATATTTAGGGGATACAAATATGATAAAATTCGAAAATAATATTTAAAATAATATTAAGGAGATAAAAATTTGATAAAAATTGAAAAAAATTACAAATATGACATTAGGGTTTCTTAGGGTTGCCATAGCGTTTCTTTCTTTTATATATAAGATTACCACAATTTTATTGGTGTCATGTGTGTATATGCCTGCTACAACTTGGGCCAATTAGAGATACTTGACAAGTTTGGACGTGTTATAACTTGTGCCCGGCCCACTGAGATATCATGATTGATGATTTATGATAAGAAAGGAATGGTCCGTATATTCCATTCCCACCCGCACGACGATTCCAACGGCGGGCGGGAAACAGAAAAAACAAACTCCACCCAAAATCATCCAACTTGGGCAACTCTCATTCTGGCGCCGACACGTGTACGTCACGTTCCTTTCATGCTTTTCCATGAATATCATCTACTTCCTCTGTTCCATAATATCTGTACTCTGAAGAATTTTTTTTATTCCATATTATTTGTTACTTTAAATTTCCAACACTTCATTAATTATTTAATTTCCAATTTACATTCTTATTAACTCTTTCCAGCACTCTTTTTTTTTTAATTAATTTCTCTCTCTTATTAATTATAATATAAGGTCATTTTAGTCTAAAAACATACATTTTTCTAAAATTAAGATACATTTAATGAAATTCTAATTAATCTTTGTGCAAAGCTAAAAAACGACGATTAAATCAGAACGGAGGGAGTATATTTTTTCTTAATTGGCTGAAATGTAAAACGATCTTGATTTTTGTGTTAATGTTGTTTTGCTTCATTTCTAAATTATTCTTTTCTTTTCTTGTTTTTTTTTTTCTAAACCAGTCAGTCACTCATCAATTCTACATATATAAGACTGGTTCTTGTTTCTCATTTCTCATCTTCCAATGTCAAGGTAATAATTAATATCCTTGTCAAATGAATCTTTGTCTCTGTCGTCGTACATAACACAATTATTATGATTAATTATGATTCAGATTCTAGACACAACAATATTTAACTACCTCAGCCCAAATTAAGGTACAATATATATATATACCAAATATTATACATATGTATCTTGTGATGGATGATACATACACAGCAACAACCTCAACATATATATATATATATATATATATATATATATATATATATATATATATATATATATATATATATGAATTGAATGCACTTAATTATGTACAACTTCCTTTCAATTCAATTGAAAAAACAAACACGAAATACACACACACATTATATTAATTCAGGCCCTAAACCAAACCAATTATCATGCATGCATGATCTGATCCATCAACAAGCTAATTAAGGGGTTGTGTACGTTGAGTAGTAAAGATTTCCTAACAAGGTACGTAATAACTATGTTAAGCCCTAACTTGACTGATATTTACTGAAATGACCACCAACAACAAACTAGTCTAACGTACGTACGGGTCTCTTCGGTCTTCTCATGAGCATGATTTGATGAGGCCTAGATTGTAGAGGAACTTCTCAGATCTGGATCGGAAGAGTGTCCCTAAAGAGAATCTTGCTGTCTGCTGATCAGGCGGTGAAGTGGAGTAGGTGTCGTCTTTAACACGGAGTATAGTCAAACCTATTTCTTTTCTAACAGCCTCAACAGTTTGACTTTGTACAGGATTAGACGACGATGCATCCGTCACATAAAAAACATTAACAGCTTGTGTCCCCCTTGTTGTCACCTCTGCTCTGCTAACTGATAGACCATTCTCTCTAAATATGCGTGTCACATCTGTTAGAAGCCCAACCCTGTCCTCGCTGCATAGTTCCAATCTTATTCCCTGCCCATCCCCATCATTTTTTTTTTATTTTTCAATTATTATTTGGATTCCGATAAAGAAATGAATTATTCTGTAATTTGATATGCATATAATGTAGTACGTACCTCGGATGTTCTCCTCTTTATTGCTGCTTCCAAGCAATGAATTACTCTCTGCCTCTCTGCTTCTGAACTTATGGGGCACCCATCCATATGCCTTATGAAATATTCCTACATTACCAGCAACGAGTTAAGGAAACCCGGCAGGGCAAGCAATAGCTGCATGTTGATTCCAAATGATCAAACTCTGACCAGTACATAATATTGATTATATTATATATTACCTGTTGAGCCTGTGGCCCTTCGGTAATTATAGTGGCATGAAACACCACATACTGCATATCTGTTAAGGTACATACTGTATCAAACAGAAGCTTAGGTCTGTCCGCACAGCTCAAGTTCACGACGGTGTAACCTTTGTCGACACAATTTTCGACAGTGACAAGGGGTTTGGTCCGTAATTGATCAGAAGAATGGACGAGAGTATTGAGGTGGTCGTAATCACGATCAGCGTACATCATTTGGTGGAGCCTCCTCTCAGTATGAGTAGAGCCAACAGAAACAGCAGTATTGGCACTTCGCTTATCTCTATCACCCTTGAGAACATAAAGAAGAAGTTGTTTGATATTAGAAAGACGGTCAGGATCTTGAATTGGGGATGAGTTGGTTTGGTCGGTGATGTAGACAACTGAAGCCATACGGGAGTTGTGGGTCCATACTTCAGCAGCAACAACGTTACACTTGAGATCAGTAAGAACAGCAAACACCTCTGAAAGCAAACCAGGTCTGTCTCTGCCAGATAATTCAATTGTTGTATGTTCTGCAGCTGACTCCACACCCACAGACCTTGCCAACGACCGGCAACTGCGTCCTCTTTGACCAAGCGACTGCAATTCATATGAATGACACATATATAATTTGAGCAAATCATGTACTCCTCTAAACATGTTCTTATTAAGTCGTCATTGGCCGTGAAACTAATAAAGAAAACATTAACATAAGATGGGCTGTCTAAAGAAAACATATAAATATATATTTCCCCCAAAAAGGAAGAATGACAGCTGTAAGTGATTAATAAGAATTATATATCCCAAAAGGATGAGTGATTGAGTGATTGATTGATACCTGCTGAATACTCTCAGATATGTTCCCCTCATGGACCTTATTTCCATATTTATCAGTAACATGAAAAACTGCATTAAAAGAAACAACAGAGCATATTCATTCACTATGAATTCATAATTCAATCCCAATCAGACCTGACAGCAAATTAAATTTTTTTTTTAATAAAAAAAGAAAAAAAAAAAACTGACCATCCATAAACCATCCCCCGTCTGAAGAAATATAAGCCCTCCGAATAATAAGATTGAGATCAGTAAGAACTTGTACTACCTCCAACAAGCTCCCCCTCTTATTTGCACTGTCGACCTGCAAATTTCTTAATTATGAGTTTTGATATAAAAGAAACCTAGAAATTAATTAATTTATTGATTAAAAATACCTTGATCAAAGTAGCCTTGTTGTCAGAATCATTGTCAACGGTGACCCTGAGAAATAATCGAAGAACAACACAGGACAGAGGATAATCAATCAATTATTGTGGCCTGGCCGGGTGGAGAGGTAATTTTATTATATATTCGAGAGAAATTAATTAAAAAAAAAAAAAAAAAAAGAGGTAGGGAACCTGGGTGGGTTGACTCTACGAACAAGCTTCTCGAACTCATCATCAACGCCAAGAGAAGTAGACCAGTGATCCATATCTGTGTTGAAGAAAGATTGAAGCTTTTGTTTGTTTGTTTGCTCTAGTGTTGTTGTGTTGAGAGAGAATAAAAATGAGAGAGATTAGATTAGTGTAAAAAAGATGAATTGTGAGAGAGAAATATGAGATGATGCCGGTAGGTAGGTAGGGTGGGGATAATAAAATGGGACAGTGGCTCTTGAGCTGTACCAAGAGAGATATATTATATATACATATATGGAGAAGAAGAGATCAAACAACAACTCTTGTTCAATTTTGTTTTTTAAATCTTATATATAATTAATATGAAATTATACAGAGAGAGAGAGAGAGAGAGAGTCATGAGGAGGACTGCCACCACACCACGGACTTGTCGCTGGTCACGTGGACCCCAACTCACTCATCTCTCCTCCCCCTCTCTCTCTCTACGATTTGTTATCACATGCCATTTTTATTTTTTATTTTGTTTTGGTTCTATTATTTTATATTCCATTTTTATTTTTATATTAATTTGATTTCTTGTGGAGGAAAATGTCTTATGTAATGTTTCTTGGATGCAATCATGTGAGGTTGTTAGTGAAAACACATTAATGGGTTATGAAAAATGAAATTGTAACAGAAATAATTATTATTATGCGCGAAACCTGAAAATACGGATATGGCTTCAAATATAATTGTAACAGTAATAGGGAAATTGTAAAAGAAATAATAATTTCTTTTTTGGGTTGCCCCTTTTTTTTTTTTTTTAAATGCAAACCTACTTTATAATTAGGTTTGTCTAGGGGGTATTAATTGGTAAAGGTGTAGAATTGATGATCCAAAAATTCGACTTGTAGCTGACCCTTTTCATAGTTACACAAGTGTATATCTTTTCACACACACCACAAAACATCATCCCAAAAAAAAAAAAAAAAAAATAAAAAAAAAAAAATATATATATATATATATATATATATATATATATATATATATATATGAGAAAATTAGCTAAACACCATTTATTTTGAACTTATATAGGTGGAGGGAATCTAGCTCGTATATTGTATTTCATTATTTTGAGGGTAAGTTATAGAAATTAATATAAATTTAAATAATATACAAGACAACATATGTAAAACAAGAGTAAGATATCCCCCCCCAGAGGGATGGGGCTGTGGGTGCAGTAGCAGTTAGCTGCAAACCAATTTTGTATATCAATTTGAACATAATATATTCAATATTTATATGAGAAGGTGTAGTAAATTAACTGGTTCAAATAGAAAGTATTTGGTATGATATAAAAATATATAGTTTGATGAAATGGATGAATATTATGTCCAATTAATTCCCATATATAATATAGGGTAAAGTTCAATTTACCTACCTGAACTATACCCAACGTATAAAATACCCCCCTGAACTTCAAAATGCATCAAAATAGCCCTCACTTTTGTTGGTCAACGTCAATAAAATTAACGCCGTTAGTTTTAGAATAACACCGTTAGTTTTTAAAGTGTTGTTACATTTTTACCCTTAATACTTCATCTTCATCTCCTTCCTCCCTTCTTCCTCCTTTTTCTTCTTTTCCTAATATCTCCCCAATTTCACTACTCAGACCAAAGCCCACCTCGATACTGGCATCCGCAACCCCAAACTCAGACTCCACAACCACGTCCCTGCCAAGAAACGCGGCCCCTTCATCTCCATCAATCTCTTCTTCCGTGGGCCCCACATGCCGGTGTCAACACCCTCACCGCCGGCGAGTTCCGGTGGTAATAACCCACAGATCTTCAAATTTTAGAGAACAGCAAATATTCAATCTTTGATGGTCATTTTTGCGAATCATTTGGGTTAGATTTACATGATTACTTTTTGTTTTGGAAAGATTCAATTTTTGATTCTGTCATTTTCCTTATTTTGCTTCCCTATTTTTAGTATACAAATGATCTTTGTGGACTTGACGAAATATGTTACTTTCCCAGATTTCTTTTTCTTTTTTCAAAACTTCCTATATCTCGCTCTAATCATTTTTTCGAATACCAATTTCCTTTTCATTTTTCCGGTGGAAAGTTGTGCATCGGAAATATTGGCCGCGGAGCTGGCAATTTTGGTGGAGGGCGTCGGTGAAGATATTGTATCTTCAATCAGAACAATATATATATATATATATATATATATATATATATATATATATATATATATATATATATATATATATATATATATATATTACACAGATGTATGTATAGATAAAATAGACTAAAGGGGTAAAAGTGTCAAACCAAATGCAAAAATCATAAAAATAATTATAAACGCAAAAGTCAACACGCCACGTCAGCAAGGAGAGACGGATTTCAAACGGAGGGGCTATTTTGATGCATTTGAAGTCCAGGGGGG